CCTATGGTTCTGGGGCCCCAGGTGCCGAGCACGCCTGCAAGCGAGAGCGGAAGGGCCGCTAGGATTGTGCTGTCTGTCATCTCCTCTGGCCATTAGGAGGGCGGCTGGGCGGCGGGGCCGCCCCCGGGGGCGGGCTCGGGTGAGTGATGGGCTGCAGCGCCCTGCCCAGCCCAGCCCAGCCCTGCCCACGTTGCCCTGAGGTTGAAATGCAGAACTCAAGGCTCTGTCTTCGGGAAGCAGACTTCCTTGTAGTCCTTTTTCCCCGCACCCTTGCTACCTCCTCAGTGGAAATCAGAGAGCTAGTGCAGCCGGGAGCGCAGGCGGCTGGGAGCGCGTCTCTGTTGTTAGGTCTCCGTTTGGGATTCAGGGCAGCCTCAGAGGTGTCCTGCTCAGAGGAATGGGTAAGTGGCTGGAAGCTGCAGGAGGGTTCAAGTGCTGTCAAGAGAGAGGGAGCACCCGCGCACCGTTGTGTGCCGCCGCAGCTCCCTTATTGACTTTGCTCGTGTTCCTACAAGTTGTAAGAACACGTTAAGGGTCAGGAGCAGGGAAGAGCGAAAGCTAATGACTGCTTGGTTTATTATTAATGTTATTAGGCGAGAACGAGGGAGGATAGCAGCCGAGCGGATGGCTGGAGCCTGTGGCACGCTGTATATTATTCCTGACACCGATCTGAGCAGTTAACATTTTAGCACGTTTGTTTTACAGCCTGATGTAATTGTGCTGTTAAGCGAGAGGCGCTAACAGCACTAGAAATAGTCTTTAAAAAGTTAGTCGCGACCAGTCTTTCAGAAGCACCGCGTTGCCCTTGCCTCTCCCAAGATTTAGCAGAATTTCCTCAAGTGCTTCCCCCCCCCCCATGTCTTTGAAAAAGGTTTTTCTTTCCTTTTTCTTTTCTTTATTTTCCTTTTCCTGTGGCAATAAAGCTGACTTGTCTGGTGGGGCGATCTCATTTTTCATCTCTGGAATGTGCTTGTTTGGAGTATGCTTGATGCACAGTTTAGAGAGCTTTGACATTTGTTGCTACTTTTTTTTTTTCCGGGGGTATCCCGTTATTTGAAAGAAGTGTGCGGGGAGTGACTGGGGGGGTCTCTCCGAGCTGTGACATCTACCTTTCAATGACGGATAGGTCGGACGCCCTCTTCTGAACCGTTTGCATGTCCAACGGGTGTGTTTGTGTGTTTGCTTGCAGAACCTGCCTTCGGGGAAGTGAACCAGCTCGGGGGGGTGTTTGTCAACGGGAGACCCCTGCCCAATGCCATCAGGCTCCGGATTGTGGAACTGGCGCAACTGGGTATCAGACCGTGTGACATCAGCCGGCAACTGCGCGTTTCCCACGGCTGTGTCAGCAAAATCCTGGCTCGCTACAACGAGACCGGCTCCATCCTACCAGGGGCTATCGGAGGCAGCAAGCCTCGGGTCACCACCCCCACGGTGGTAAAACATATCCGGACCTACAAACAAAGGGACCCGGGCATCTTCGCCTGGGAGATCCGGGATCGCCTGCTGGCTG